AGCTCTCTAAAAGTTGTTTCAAACTTTACAGGTAAAGTTACACAGAGATTTAGCACTGTGTTAGAACATGATCTCTTAATTCTCTGTGTATCTGAAGGAGTGGGCCAGTATTTTTAGTAACTTTGTTTTAATCTAGAATAAAGATGAAGTAATTTTTTTGGAGCCTATTCATTTTAGGTTGATGATATACTGAGTTATTGCAATAGAGAAAGAAGATGTCTTTTTAGCTGAAATTATTCCCCCTCAGGCATTGTAAAAAGGCAACAGAATATGTTTTAAGAAATATGGTCTCAATTCAGCTATTTAAAGAAGATATAAAAGACCCTAGGAGAAAAATGTTTTCTTCTTAAGAATGAACTTTTTACTTCTAAATGTTCTGTTTTAATCGTGAGAATTTAGATTGTGAAGAATCTTGTCAAGAAAACTTAAGTTGTCAAGTGATTTAAATGCTGTTATTCACTATATACAGTAGTCCCCCCTTCGTGGTCAACTGTAGTCCAAAAATATTAAATGAAAAATTCCAGAAATAAATAATTTATAAATTTTAAATTGCACGCCATTCTGAGTAGCACGGTGAAATCTCGCTCCATCCTTCTCTGTCCCACCCAGGATGTGAACCAGCTCTTTGTGCAGCATATACACACTACATGCACTCCCTGCCCATTAGTCACTTAGTAGCCATCTTGGTTATCAGATTAACTCTCTCAGTATCATGATGCTTGTGTCCAAGTACTTAATGGTCCACAAACCATTAACATAATTTTTATTACGGTATACTGTTATGATTGTTCTTTTTTATTATTGTTAATTTCTCACTGTGCCTAATTTATAAGTTAAACTTTATCATAAGTATGTCTGTATAAGAAAAAAATAGTATGTATGAATGAGGTTTGGTACTATCCACAGTTTCAGGAATCGACTGGGGGTCTTGAACATAACCCCTGGGCGGGGGAAACTACTGTATTTTTCTGGTTTTCATATACCTCTGTTCTATTTTCTTTTATTTCTCTAGACCTAATTAATTCATTTGATTTTTTTCTCTTTTTAATGTCATCATTGCATTCGGAGAGCATCACTTTTCTTAAGGTTTAAGTTGTACAGATAATATTTTAGTACACATTGTAGTTACATTTCATGAGGGATATGTTTTAATTTGGGGGTCATATTCACGATGGGCACCAACCAATCTGAATGGACACCAACCATTGTGCTGTACCAGATATATCTGCTGGCTGTGGTGGAGTTCAGTCCACCCTTTTACTGAATCATGTCATTCTGTGGTAATTTGACTACAAATCAGATGAGCCAGTTTGAACTTCCATCTTCATGAGTTGCTCAAGTAAAAGTCTTTTCTTGGCTATAGGCAGATGAGGTTATTCTAACCACATGAAATATGTTCTTCTAGTCTTCTTTTCTTTTATATATGGACTGAAATGTTAATTCATTAGACATGTAAAACTAGATAGATAACTTATGCATTGGGCAATTTGAAAATAGCTTGAATGATGTATAATCTTGTAATTTCCATTACATATGGATTCTAATGTTCAAGCTTTTCACTTCAGCATCTTAGATGATCTTTGAACAAGGGATTTGCACAGGAAAAAGAAATCCTGAGAAATTACACATGATTGATGTCACTGTTTATAAAATGTTTCATTTTTCTTTCCTCCCATAAAGACTCTGGAACCTGTGAAATCTTTGTAATTCATAAAAATTCTCTCCTTCTTTTCAGTGGACATACTTTGCCTTGCAGATTTCCAGAGAAAATTAGATTGAAGTGGTGTAATTTTCATTTTTAAGCACATTTTGAAATTTTTTAAAGGATGCTGGGCTGTTTCATTTGTTAAATATACAATGTGCACATTTCATCTGGCTTGGTTTCCATTACCCACAGTTATTAATAATGTTCAACTGATAGTTCTCAGATCATTTTCTCACTGGGTAATTGTCTATATTATATATCATTATTTTGGACTCTAAAACTCTCGCTTTGTTTCAGATATTTGGAGGACTGTTATTAGAATATCAGGGGCTAGATAACATTTATAAAGTCAGAAATAAGACAGAATTATCTTTCAGTAGGAATTAATTGAGTTTACACATAAAAAAACCTTTTTAGTACCCACAGTGTTCTGTAAACACTGGATAAAGATAGCAATTTAAAAAATCATTTAGGGAAAAATAGCTTCTAAATCACAGGAAGATATTAAGTAGACAAAGTTTATTTGCTTTGCCATAGTTCATTTACCTTAATTTTTTTTTTTGTAGGTTATGACTTTTGTTCTGAAAGGCATAACTGCATGGAGAATTCTGTCTGCAGAAATCTGAATGACAGGGCCGTTTGTAGCTGTCGAGATGGTTTTAGGGCTCTTCGAGAGGACAATGCCTACTGTGAAGGTAATCCTTGTAATGATGTGTAGTTCAAGTTCAGCTGTAGAAATTTCCTAGGATTACTGCATGAAAAATTTATTAATTTCCCAGGTTGTCAAGTTGATGGGCCCATTAAAAGCAGTGAATTTAATTTGAAGCATATTAATCAGCTAAAAATAATTATCTTTCAAATTAAAGTTTTTCAGCTAGCTGCTATATGTCAGACTAATAAGTTAACATGGCTGGTTTCTTGAATTAGAACAATAATCCCAGTGTGAAATTGCCTTTTTTTTTTTTTCATAATTAGATGTTCAGATAGTTCACATATTGACATGATTACCCTGGCTTGCAGTTAGAATTGTAGTTAGATTTTTCCAGACAGTGCAGTGTAACAAAGGCAATCAGTTAACAGAAAGATAAAGTGCCCACTGCTATTTTTGTTTGCTACTGTAAGTCATGTCAGTAGTTGTATTCATGCTCTGTGGTATTTAGTAAATAGCTCCAGTGGAATAAATGGTTTCCTAGTTATTTTTTAAAAAATTTAATTAATAACCCAGGTAGTTCATTCTCTCAAGGAAACAGTCCAAATATATTGAGGAGGCCCTTGGCATGCATAAATATTGTGGCTTTAAATATTCATGAAGAGCCTAGAAAACCACGAGATGTAGTAATTTATAATTTCTCTGAACCACAGATTTGAATCATTCTCATGAATTGTGTGAATAGCTAGTGGGTCTTACAAGTTAGAACACTGATGTGGTGGTGTGTGGGCATTTGGAAAGTTCTAGACTTATCTGTATCAAATGTCAAGAATGTGCAATCAGTATTGGGAGAGGAAAACCTCCAAGGTATAAACATGTAGCCTCAGTTTAGCCACACGATGATGTATTGGCCCTCAGGAAACCAATTTCTATTGTTTCCCTTAGCTTTCTATAGATTTTCTTCTGCTTTAAAAATCAGCATTCGTTTTTTGAAATTGACATTTTTTTCCAAAGTATTTCTTTAAATGCTTCTGATTTGGTTCTGAAGAGACCATCCCAGTTTTGCTAAAGGAAGTATATGGCTTCTGTTCCCCATTCATAATGAAGATTTATTTAAAATTTGTCATTTTGACAGGTTTTATGTAAGAAATGGACTTAAACTTACTTAGTAAAATAATGTATTATTCATTACAATATTTAAGATATGTAGTGTGTAATAAGCCCCACTGATATTGTTAATGTGTATAATATGAAACCACATGATGTAAATTCATATACCTCTTTTTGAATCTTAATTTTATGATGCTTATCTTTATTTTGAGCTGCTGCTTTTGTTGTCATTAAGTATATTCACTCATGTAATACATATTTAAGAAGCACCTACTTACTGTGCACCAAGTACTTTTCTAGATACTGGGTAGGTAGTACATGATGAATAAGACGGGTGAGGTTCCTGTGCTCAGGAGCTCACCTTCTGGGGCAAAACAGAGAATTCGTGGGTTACCATAGAAATAGAGGAGGCAGTTTCAGGTAGTAATAAAGCATAGGAAGACAATGAAACAAAATAATGTGATAGAGATTGATTGTGGGTTAATTTAGATGGGAGGGTCAGGGACAGCCTGTGAGACTGGAAGAAGGAGGTTTGCTAGCTGACTTGAGACTTGATGATAAGGAAACAGCATAGACAGATCTGAAACAGAGCAGTCCAACCAAAAGGAATTGCAAGTATTGTAGAAAGACCCTAAGTGGGAACTAGATTGATTGTTCTAGAAACTGGAAGAAGGCCAATGTGATGGAGCAGACAAGTTAGAGGAGAGGCAGCTGGAGAACTAGGCAGGGCCCAGATAATATAGGGAGGCTTCTAAGGATTTTAGATTTGTCTCAAGTAGCAGAGTGACATGCTCAGATTTGTACCGTAAAGGATAGCTCTGGCTGCAATGTGTTAGATGAACTATGGGGCTGACTGTGGTAGGAAGAACAGAAGTGTAAACAGGAAGACCATTTGGAAGGAGATTGCAGTAGTCTAAGCAAACATGTTGGTGTCCTGGATTAAGAAAGTGATAAGGGAGGTGGAGAGGAGGGAGCATATTCATGGCATGTTCTGAAAGCAGAGCCAACAGTCCTTGCAGAGAGTTTATGGTGGAGAAGAATTGAGGAGGGAACAAGGGGTCAAGGTTTGGAGTTTGAGCAATACATGGATGGTGTTGCCATTTATTGAGACAGTAAAGAGTTCAAGGGAAGAGGGCAGAGATTTAGATTACGCAACAATGCGACCTACTGAAAATTGGCATAATTGTAAAGACTAGATCACTGTTTTTATTTACAAGTTCAGCACAAATTGGCAGCCATTTTCCATTCTGAATGGATCATACTGAAACATGGTTTGTAAATTTCTTTATGTTATTTATTTTTCACTTAAAAATGTAATCTACACAAGTTAAGAAAATGATGGAAAAACTTGTTGCTATATTATCGAGATCTTGAATTTTTTTATAATGAGGACTTCTGACATTACATCTTTTGTTATTAATGTTAACAGGCTTTGCAGTATTCTGATCAAATTTGTTTTTCTTTTGATTTTGTTATTCTTCCTGCTAACTTTAAGGATGTTTTGACTTCTTAGAAGCAACATTTAAAAATTTTTTATGCAATTGTACATGTAATCTATCAGCTGGTATTACAGAGTTCTGGTCTTCTAAGAAATTAGACTTGTCACAATATGCAAAAATAAGCAAGTGGTAATCTATAAAGTAATATAAATTCTATCTACCAAATATGTGGGGTTGTTTTAGTGATATAACTGACTTAAAATTTAGACTGTTGATTTTTACTGTAGTTTACCAGGTCAGGATTAAAATAGCATTGGTAAAATGTTGAAGTTCATTTATGCGTTTGACAAATATTTATTGAATACCTACTTTATTCAAGGCTAGGCTAGAGGTGAAACAGTAAATAAGATATACATGACTGATATTCTCTCAGGCAAGAAAGATAATAAACAGATCATTACACCAACGAGCATTTAATTGCACATGTGGCAATTGCCCCGAAAGAAACAGGTTAACGGGGGTCTTATCTGGATGGCTGGTGGTGCTTGAAGAAAATAGTTTTTTGTGGTTTTTTTTTTAAATCTGAAGATTAAGTAAAAATCAGCTAGTCATATAAGTAAGGGTGAGAAAGAAGGGCATTTCCTGGGTGGAAGAATCAGCATGTCTAGCAGCTTCCAGGCAGAAAGAAGCACTTTGTAAGGACTGCAGGAAGGCAGAGATGCAGCAAGGCAGACAGGCTTGATGATGGAGAAGCAGCGCCTTGAAGGGCACAGTAAAAATGAATGGTTTTATGCTAAAAACAAGGGGGAGCCAATGAAAGGTTTGCACTAGAGGAGAGCCATGATCACATTTGTTAAGGCAGAGATTGGGGTGATGCGCATACAAGACAAGGAACACCAGAGATTTCCAGCAAAGCACCAGAATAGGCAAGGGCATGACACACATTGTCCCTCACAGCCCTCAGAGGGACCAGCCCTTCCACACCTCGATTCTGGACTATTAGCCTATAGCACTGTGAGACATTTCTGTTGCTTAAGCCACCAGTTTGTGGTACTCTATTATGGTAGTCCTAGCAAACTGATACAATCTGACAGAAATAGCTTTTGCTTTGGTCTAACTATCCATGATTTAATTATCCTTCTAGACTGCTGAATTTTTATTTTTTTCTTTGGAGATTTTCTTTTCTTTTTTAATTGGGGAATTGGGGGGATGAGAATAGTGCTGGGGAATCGGGGGAAGGGGAACAGACAAGTTGCTGTCGTTTTGTTCTTCAGTCTAGTTGTGGAGGACGTTGCTTCACTGGCCCAAGTTGGCACCATCATTGCGCTCTTCCCAGGTGAGGCACATCAGTCGCCAGCTTCTGGATGGCCGCTCATTGCGGCTGCTGGCCGCTCACGCTGGCTGCTGGCTACACACAGTAGCCCATGGCAACCCACTGCCACAGAGGCTGCAGCCTACGCCATCACCAGCGACTCATGGCAGCCCAGCTCCACGTTGAGCTGTTGTTCAGCATCTTAGCTGTAGAGGGCAGTGTCACTGGCCCTCATATGTGGGATCCGAACCGGGGCCCTCTGGCGTCCCAAGCCAGTTCTTAACCATCGCGCCACTCGGCCGGCCCGGAGATTTTCTTAATTAAGTGCACATAGATTTAATTTCTCAAATCTATTTTGTATTTTATCTGATTGAAGAATGAGTACCTTGTTCTGTACTGGTATATATCCAATTGTCCAGTTGTAACATACTTAATTATATACTATATTATCTACTAAGGGATTCATATATGTGTATTTGTATATATTTCTCCCACCTGTAAGTTTCTTGCAGTCATAGACTGTTTATTCTCCTTGCATTCTCCCAAACTTCTAAAAAGAGACAGACAAGTCAAGTTTAAGAAATATTTGTTTATGGATGGTTGGAAATGCTTAGGTATGCTGAACAGATGGGTACTTTTAAGCTATCTCATCACTAAAGAATTATTCAGGACAAGCATTGAACTTACTGAGTTGTGTTTATATTGTGTAAGAAAGTCTAATTGTCATGTTGATTCTTATAGCTAAAAAAGTTGTTTTAAATTCATATGTATTGGCCGTAAAAATTATTCTGAGTAGTGCAAGAAAAGGAATTTATTCATTTATAGCAGTCATTATTTGTTAAATTATGTGTACTGATAAATGGCATGCATATGAAAAGAACCACAAGTTCCAGAAATTTTCTCATCTCCACCATTGCTTTTACTGAATAAGTTTTTACTTAAGATTTGAATTCTGTCTACAATTTGCAAACCAGCTCACTTGAATATCAAATATCTGACATGTAAAAGGTGCTTAATAAATGCCGGATGGGCGTGGGGATTGGAATCTTAATAGACATTTGTTTAGTGCCAGCTATGTGCCAGACACAGCACACTTTTCAGTGTAAACTATAAATTATTATACTTAGATATCCAATTCAACTACTTTTTTTCTACGTCTTGTCAAAAGAAACACTGTCTCCCTCC